AATCTTTCCCTCAACAAACCAAATGAAAAATATTTACTTGTCATTTCTCATTACCAGGTTCAGGACGTACAGTAGATGCTAGTACACTGCAATGTGCCCTCCCTAGCCTGTGAGGGGAAAGGACTCTCATAGTGGGGTTTCTGTTGCATTTTTTTAGGCTGTGCAAGGCTCAATATTTTGCCATTTTCTGAATGGCATTGCCCAGGTAGAATAAACAATTCTGGACTTAGCTTTAAGAGTGAGGGAGTGGGATGTCTTCTGTTCCCTTGCAGAACCATGCTGCTTTTTTAACTCCTGAGGCAGATAGTTGGTGGTTTCTCCAAAGATTGTATCAGTATTTGTCCTGTATAGTGAGTTGGCATTTCATGGACCCTTTCTCATGCTCTTTGTGTTGAATCTGTGTGTGTCTATATTATGGTATGCTGTCCCCTATTTTATCTTTAATGAGCAATTGAAGGTTGGCTACTAACCAACTGCAGTAAAAGTACCTTTCTCACTTAGAGCACTTACCTGTAAAGTGTACCAGTAGTCACTTTGTATAGATGGTGATGCAGTTAGATAAATGTTTTGCTTTAATATAAACATCTCCACTGTTTGGGAGATGCATTTGGGTTTTTGTCACTTCCCATGTAAAGTGTTCAGGTTTTTTCTATGTCATTCTTACATTGAAAGTTAAGCTTAATATTTAGTGTATGAAAAAGCTTTCTAACACTTTGTGAATAAATAACTGAATGTAATGTAGGGAAGAAAAAACAAGCTATTAGCTTCTCAACTCTTTTTGAGAAGAAAAAGGGCATCTCATAGAATTCTGGCTGTGGTTCTCCAAAAATGCTTTGTGTTCCTGTCAAATGATAATACAATCTGTAAAAATAATCTCATCTAGAAATATTTTAGATATTTAAGAATTCTCTTTTTATTGGGGGGGGGGAACACATACACATTCAGGCCAGCTTTTCACACATGTAAGCTTACTGGGGGTCCTTAGCACTTACCGTAAGTATTCAGGACTAAGTAAAGTGTGTGATAAAAATTAAAAAAAAAAAAAAATGTATTTCATGTTTGTGGATGAAATTCTATATACCCTTTCTCATATGCAGAGATGGCATCAAGACTATAGAAATTTCAGGGAAACAACCATGTTTCTCATGGTAGGATTGGAGTTTTTCCAAAAAAAGAGGTAAGTGGTAGTATAGAACTCAAATGTAGTAGAGCAATTTGAAGGCAAAATGCAATATTGATAAGTAAAGCTATTTTTTAAATTAAAAATTGTTTAATGTGTTTTTCATTTCAGTTAAGCATTTATTCCTCCCATTAATGTCTTCAGTCTTGCATCTACCCCAAAGTTTCCTGCAACTGCCTATTCTTAATCTCCATTTCCAATCCCTTATCAAATCATGGACTCTCTTCAGAGCACCATCCATGTGCACATGTACTCCTCCTTCTCTCCTACTTAAGTGCTCTGGATATCCCTCAGACATAAAAAAAAATCTTTTCTGTCTGGCACCACATGTGTACGTACATTTATCTGCTTTCATTAGCAATCACAATTAGTCAAGTCCCCATCTTATCTGTGTTTTCACTGGGTCTTCCCACAGAAGCAAAGTTTTGCCTTCTGCATTTGTCTGAGCCAAGTTCTACCTGTGATGGGCTTTAAAAGAAAAAAGAACATATTTGAGGAAAACTATCATGTGTAACTATCATAGTTGTAGCTGATTCGTCTTAGCTCCATGAGGCAATGATGATTCATTCCTTTCTCTTTTTGAACCAAGTCAGGAATTGTGGCTACATAAAAATTGGTGACATTTATGTACTTAATGCTGAATTTATTCTCTGATCTACTACATGCAACAAGGATGGCAATTACAATATAAATGCCTCTAAGCATTCTGCAGAAGAGTCTTTGAAACAGAATTGTTCAAAAGTACCTCTTCCTCCCATACCCAGCCAAAGGAATGAAATGATTAGCTGCAAAATACCCAGTGGATGACATCTGTGGTGTGAAAATTGAGCTATCATATGACAGAAATTGTTGATTGTGGAAACAATTCTGTAGTCAATCACTGATTATTCATCTGTAACACAATAGGTAGGGGAATTATAGTGGGAATCAAACTTAATTTCTTTTCTGTATGTTGTGTAGTAAATTGCTTCATATTTCTCTTTCTTGTCTTGTATGATCCCAAAAAAAGAAAGGCCCCAAACAAAACAGGAAAATTGATTGGAAAAGACACTGCCTTGTCTTTGTGACAAGCTATGTCTTTGTATAGTGGCTAATACAATGAGCCCATAGTCTTGGTTTGTCTTCTGGTTGCTAGCATGTAATAAATAGTACATTCATTAATAATCTAAATTGAAATATGCTACTTTGTCAGTCTTAAACAGCTTATGTGTGAAGGTTGGTCAGAAGATTGCCTGGCTTATTTGAAAAACAAAGACAATGGTATTGCTTGATCCCTTAAGGAGGCAAAAATATCATGGGCAGTGGTGTGGTGTATAGAAACCCTGCTTGTTACCCCCAGACTTTATGCACGCTCTAAGCATGCAGGCAGGAACGGAAGATACACAAGTTCCTTGGCACTAGGACTCCAGGATGGCACTTTCAGCTGTAAAATTACAGTGTTTTCACTAATCTGCTTCTTACCATAATATATTCTGATTATGCCGGGGGAGGGAGGGAAGCAGAGGTTTCTGCTTTGTGCTGAACAGCATTTTGGTATAGTTTTCCTTTATTTACATTAACTTGCAAAATTAGGGTGAGGCATTTGTTACCAAACATCTTCATAATTTAGAAAACAAGCCTATAATGACCAGTCTTAGGCTCTGATATTGGTCAGAAGTAAAAAAATACTGTATTATAAGACTAGTCTAACATCCAAAGAAGTGTAGCATTTATTCCCTTTGGCAAGAAATGCAATTTCATAAATGCTTCAAGAGGTATTTAATACAAAGACAGTAAGACTAGAGTTAAGCATGCTTAGAGGATGCGTGAGGATCTGGGTATCCATTAACCTGCTCTAAAGGCATCTATTGCAATTATGCACTCACATTTCAGCTACAGGTTCCCAAAGGACTGAGATATTTACGGAGGTTCACATCTTGTACGCTGTAGAGGGCAGTACTACCATCCTTATTCTGAAAATGATACTAAATTGATGAGATCTTCCAATTCCCTTATTAACACTGAAATCATAAAAATGTAACTTTAAAAATATTTATGAAAACGTAGACTTTCATAATCGAAATGCAGCAAGACTGTTTTTGAGGCGCTTTTTTTTTTCAGAAACCCATCTCCCTCAATCAACCAACTTTTAGTTTTAATAACACTAATTGATACCTAGCAGTACTCAATCTCTAGATGGAGCAAAAAAAAAAAATTGGCCTTTATCGAGGTGGTCTCTCATTTCCTTAAATAATTGTACTGTATTGAACAAACACAAAATCAACATTAAAGAAGTAGTTTCGTGTGTCTTTTTCATGCCTGCTTTCAGCGTTCCCTTCTGGTGGTTGACACCTCTTTTCACCACAGGTGGAGAAATAAAGGGTCTTTGAGGCATATCTTCTCTGACTATAGAGTAGGAACCTGCTATGGGTGAGATGAACACAGCCAGCTAACGAACATTGGCAGGAGTTCTACTTGTAGCTTGCTCTTGTGGTAGTAACTGAGAAGTGAACAAACTGTAGACCTTAGCAGTTGCCTTTTAAGTTTCTTGGAAAACCAATACAGTTTTTCAGTTTTGACTCAAATGCCTCTTTCCAAGATGTGCTAAAATTTAGCCAGCCTGTGCTTTCTGCATCTTTTCTAAAGCCTAGGCCCAGTGATCTCTATAATTCTTTGAGCAGCTTCAGTGATTTTAGGCTTAGGCTTCACAGGCTGGAGCTCATATGCACTTCAGGTGTGAAAAGGCAGAATCTGTTTGCTAATTTACACTATAGCCATACTCCTCAGAGTCTCAAGATGTATAAGGACTCCCAGCTTGGATGTATAGTAATGGTGATTTAAAATAGCTTGCCTTGCTGTTAGATGGCACTACGGTTGTTTCAGGGAAAGGTCACACAACTGGGGGAAGGAGCAGGAGGAGATGGATGGGGAATAAGGCCACTACTGGCAGCAAGTTTTTAATTCAAATCAGCTGAGTTTCTGACACTAATTTCAACCTGCATTTTCACAAATAACTGAACTAAGAATGGGAAGGGAGAGAGGGTCCTGCTCCTCTGGCTTTATATCCAGCTATTCCAGTTCCTTGCAATCATCTTCTCCCCTTTACTCCTACATTAAATTTTCTGCTGCCTGGTAGTTGTCTTGATGATCAGTGATGTGAAGAGTTTTCATGGGCAGGAGAAATGGACTTGAGAAGAGGGTAATAGGACTTCTTTTTTTAATGAAAGCATAGCCTTGTATTTTGAGGACAAAAAGGTGGAGAACAGTGACTGTACTTGTAATATATTAATTACTTTAAGCAATAAATACTTAGAATTGCAAGGGACTATGAGCAGATCTCATGGTGGAAGAATCATAGAATGGTTTGGGTTGGAAGGGACCTTAAAGAACATCTAGTTCCAACCCCCTTGCTGCGGGCAGGGACACCCTCAACTAGACCACATTGCCCAAAGCCTCATCCAACCTGGCATTGAAGGGAGGAGGCATCCACAGCTTCTCTGGGCAACCTGTTCCAGTGCCTGACCACCCTCATAGTAAAGAATTTCTTCCTAATATCTAATCTAAATCTACTCTCAGTTTAAAGCCATCACTACGTGCCCTTGTAAACCGTCCCTCTCCAGCTTTCCTGTAGGTCCCCTTCAGGTACTGGAAGGCTGCTATATGGTCTCCCCAGAGCCTTCTCTTCTCCAGGCTGAACAACCCCAACGCTCTCAGCCTGTCCTCACAGGAGAGGTGCTCCAGCCCTCTGATCATCTTTGTGGCCCTCCTCTGGACTTGCTCCAACAGGTCCAAACTATGGTTTTAAACTGAAAGAGCAGAACAGGTACTGGGGACCCCAGAGCAGTATGCAGTACTCCAGGTGGGGTCTCATGAGAGCTTCTCTTCTCCAGGCTGAACAACCCCAACGCTCTCAGCCTGTCCTCACAGGAGAGGTGCTCCAGCCCTCTGATCATCTTTGTGGCCCTCCTCTGGACTTGCTCCAACAGGTCCAAACTATGGTTTTAAACTGAAAGAGCAGAACAGGTACTGGGGACCCCAGAGCAGTATGCAGTACTCCAGGTGGGGTCTCATGAGAGTGGAGTGCATGTGCAGGATCTTGCAGTTGGCCTTGTTGAACTTCATGCGGTTTGCGTGGGCCCACCTCAAGCCTGTCAAGGTCCCTCTGGATGGCATCTCTTCCCTCCAGCATGTCAACCACACCATGCAGCTTGGTGTCATTGGCAAACTTGCTGAGGGTGCACTCGATCCCGCTGTCCATGTTGCCAACAAAGATGTTAAACAGTGCTGGTCCCAATACTGACCCCTGAGGAACGCCACTCATCACTGTTCTCCACTTGGACATTGAGCCGTTGACCACAACTCTTTGAGTGCGACCATCCAGCCAATTCCTTATCCAGTGAGTGGTCCATCTGTCAAATCCATGTCTCTTCAATTCAGAGAGAAGTATATTGTGCGGGACAGTGTCAAATGCTTTGCACAGATCCACGTAGATGACATCAGTTGCTTTTGTCTTATCCACCAATACTGTTAAACCCCATCATAGAAGGCCACTAAATTTGTCAGGCAGAATTTGCCCTTAGTGAAGCTGTGTTGGCTGTCACCAATGACCTCCTTATTTTCCATGTGCCATAGTTTCCAGGAGGATCTGTTCCATGATCTGTCAGGACTTTAGCTTTCCTAACCTCATCCCTGGCTGCTCGGACAATTTCTCTGGATTCCTCCCAGGCTACCTGCCTTTGCTTCCAGCCTCTGTAGGCTTCTTTTTTGTGTTTGAGTTTGTCCAGGAGCTCTTTTTGATCCATGCAGGCTTCCTGGTGTTTTTGCCTGACTTCCTGTTTGTTGGGACGCATCACTCTTGAGCTTGGAGGAGGTGACCCTTGAATACCAACCAGCTATCTTGGGCCCCTCTTCCCTCCAGGGCTTTGTCCCATGGTATTCTACCAAACAGGTCCCTGAAGAGGCCAAAGTCTGCTCTCCTTGAAGTCCAGGGTAGTGAGCTTGCTGTGCACCCTCCTTGTTGCCCTGAGGATCTTGAACTCAACTGTTTCATGGTCACTGCAGCCAAGGCTGCCCTTGAGCTTCACATTGCCCACCAGGCCCTCCTTATTGGCGAGAACAAGGCCCAGCATGGCACCTCTCCTCATTGGCCAGGAACCTCCTGGATTGCTTTTGCCCTGCTGTGTTGCTTCTGCAACAGATACTGGGGTGGTTGAGGTCCACCATGAGGACCAGGACTTGTGAACGTGAGGCTCCCGTCTGTCTATAGAGGGCTTTATCCACTTGGTGTTCCTGATTGGGTGGCCTGTGGCAGACCCCCACTATAACAGGAACCTCCTGGATTGCTTTTGCCCTGCTGTGTTGCTTCTGCAACAGATACTGGGGTGGTTGAGGTCCACCATGAGGACCAGGACTTGTGAACGTGAGGCTCCCGTCTGTCTATAGAGGGCTTTATCCACTTGGTGTTCCTGATTGGGTGGCCTGTGGCAGACCCCCACTATAATGTCCCCTGTCCCTGCCCTCTCTTTAATCCTGACCCATAAGCTCCTCATCCATCCCCAGGTGGAGCTCCATGCACTCCAGCTGGTCACTGACATAGAGGGCGACACCCCCTCCTCATCTCCCCTGCCTGTCCTTCCTAAAGAGCCTGTGTCCTTCCATTCCAACACTCCAGTCATAGGAGCCATCCCACCACGTCTCTGTGATGCCAACGAGATCACAGCCCTGCAGGTGTGCACCATGCATGTTTGTTCCCTATGCTATGTGCGTTTCCATAGAGGCATTTGAGTTGGGCACCTGATGAATCTGATTGAAATAACTTCACAGTAGATTCTGAAACTATGGTATTTGGCTTCATCTTGATCTTCTAAACAGGGATATTGGAAGGTAAAGCCTTAAAGAACCATTGCTATTTCAAGTAGCCTTTTCCCTTCTTTTTATGTTGTCTCATTGGGAGGCATTACTGTAAGTCTTGAGTTTGTCTACTTTGGAAAATTCTAACATGTATTTTTCGGTTATGATTTCAGTGTGCTCACACATAACTAGCCTTTTTTAGTAGTTTGGTGGTTTGGTTTTGGTAGTTTAACCATGACCTCCTCTTCTCACTAGGAGTGAGTGAGTGCACAATGTACTGTTCCTCTAACAGTCCAATAGGAAATCTCTCTTTCTAGATTTTTTTTTTAAGTTTGAATGAGATTTCTAACTGCTTGTTTTTAGGGTAGCTGCCTGAACTGCTTTCAGTGGCTGTCTATCATAACTGGGTTTCTCCAAGTCAGAGAATTAACAATTTGTTTGCTGGAAATGGTATGCAGCAGTGTAAGGGGAGATGGTTAATCTGTGTGTGAAGGGATCTCTGTTGATTATTAACTGTTAGGTTCTTAGGTCCTATGTTACTCGTCCTTTACCAGTTAGGTTTGTATTTATCTTCTGCATTGAGATTAAAGACGGAAATATCAACAGTATGTCGGCATTTCTGCTTTTGAAATGCTGTTGCGGCTTCTTCCATCACTTTAGACTTCAGTAGTTTAGAAGAACTTACTGAGGTAAAAATTCACAGGTTTATTTTTTAGAAATAAGGTAACAGCTTTAAATCTTGTTTGCTAAGGTGGAGAATGCTATCAAGATATATATGGCAACAGATCTAACCTAATGTGACATAAATGCACACAGGAAAAATTAAATTTTCATGTATACTCAAGGCTAATCCAAAGCTATTTTTGAAGTGAGTGAAATGTTGTCCATTGGTTTCAGTGAGCTTTGGATCAGACTTCATGTGCAAGTGATCTAACCTAATAATAAAATAAGTGTTTCAGCGTGCATAAAAGATGAAATTGTGTGGTAGAAAAATCACCATTATGAAGAGATTGGTGGGGATGGGTGGACTTAGTTAAACAAGCAGGTGAAGCTACCTGTCTTGTGAAGAGCACAGTAGTTAGCTTGAAACAGGTGGTACCTGGATGTTGCATCTAATGTTTTTGTTTCTTTACTTCAGCTATATGGAAGCCTTGCTCTACCTTATCTATGCTTACCAGAATAACAAGGAACTCTTGTCCAAAGGCCCGTACAGAGGGCATGATGAAGAGCTGATATCTCACTACAGACGAGAATGTTTGCTTGTAAGTGAAGGGTGAAGTATGTTTCAAAAAGTTGAACTTGCTGCATAGCTTTAACCAAATGAATTAGTATAAAAGTGTTGCCATCATGTAAACCAAAACCAACCAAAAGCTTCTTTCATTACACAAGTCTAAGTATTAACTTGTTGAGGGGAAAAAAAGCAAAACTAAGAAGGAAAACATTATTCCCATTTTTTTCAATAATTATTCATCTTTAAGAATGTAGTGTGCTCACTGCCATCATCTCTGGGCTAGGTAGGAACAACAGTTGACAGTGTTGGTGAGCAGACTCACCCTGTTGCCACAGTTTGATGGGAGACAAATATTAGAAAAGGCATCAAAACAGCAGGAAGCAAGTAGGTTTTTCCTTGGTTATGTTACTTTTAGCAATAGTGAGATAATAAAACCAGGTGACAGGACCTACCTCAGTCTTTAAGAAGAACAGCTGCAAAGATTGACTTGGAGGTATCAAATGAAGTGGCTTTGAGGAACAGCACAAGGTCAAGTGGTTTAATAGAGTATATGCATCACAGCTGTAAAATTAACTGGTAGCTTTGTAGGAAAACTGTGCTTTAAAACAAACTGATGCATGGTAGAATGTGAAATGCTGTATACTTAAAGGTTTTCCTTTTTTGTGGTGGTTTATGAAGAAACTAAATGAACATGCTGCAGCACTGTTTGAATCAGGAGATGATCAGGAAGTAAATAATGGCCTGATCATTATGAATGAGCTTATTGTCCCGTGTTTGCCATTACTACTGGTGGATGAAATGGAAGAAAAAGATATCGTTGCTGTGGAAGATATGCGAAACCGTTGGTGTTCCTATCTTGGACAAGAAATGGAACGTAAGTAATTTATTCATTAAGGTAAAAGGCCCTTGCACACTTTTTTTTTAAAAAATAAATGTGATGTTTTCAATGTCTTGAATTGAGCCTATATCTTTTGTGTCTTGGTGATGTATTTTGAGCTACCCTGACTTTTGAATAATCCTGTACATGTTTAAATAAACAGTTTTTCCATATATTGCACTGGGATATTAGGCCTTAAAGGAAACATGCTTTTTGAATGGAAAAACATTTGTGGTGTTAGACCATGTGAAAGAGCATTTATGTTAACATCTTACTAGGAATTGGTATGTCCTAGTTATTGCTGGCAGACCTGAAGAAAGTAGATTATTCCAAGTGAAACTTCTCCTCTTCCCACCCACAAATTAAAAAAAAAAACAAAAACCAATGTTGGGCAGAAAAAGGAGAATTCCACATGCAGACGTAAATGCTCATGTTTGTTTTTCTTGTTTTATTTGCAGCTAATTTGCAAGAAAAGCTGACAGATTTCCTGCCAAAACTGCTAGATTGTTCTACAGAGATTAAAGGTTTCAACGACCCGCCAAAGTTACCCTCCTACTCCACACATGAACTGTGTGAAAGATATGCCCGAATCATGTTGTCACTCAGTCGAACTCCAGCTGATGGAAGATAAATTCTGCAACCTTCCTAAGCACATTGTATAAACTTTTTTAGTTCTTAAACCTTGCCTTCCTGTCACAGGGTTTGCTTGTTGCTGCTATAGTTTTTAACTTTTTTATTTTAATAACTGCAAAAGAGAAATGACTGTACAAACTTTAGCCAGACTGCAAACAAAGCTGAGAATCGCATGGCGCTCAGTTGTTTCAACCAGAATTGATGCAACATGCAAGTCTGATCATTATGGCAAAACTGCTTTTTTTGCCACTTATCTGTTTCAGTATTACTTTGCTTTTATCTTAAGATCCTTTACTTTATCAACAGCTGTCTGGATCATTTTGTGACTGCAACTACTTTAAGTGTCCAGTGCTGTGTAAATACATGGTACTTGGTAGCTTGTAAATGAAATGAAAGAATAAAGTTTTATTTATGGCTACTTCTGTGTTTGCAAGCAGATACCTTGTATATTAGTGTAAAATACGGGTATTTTTAGAAGAGAGTATATTGATGGGTTAGTCAATTTTATAGACAAGGTTCTTCAGGATTTATGGCCAGTTTACTTACAGGTAGTCAAAGATTACTGTATGTGAATATATTGAAAGACTGTCACAGTGTAATACACTTTGTTTTTTTGTATATTCTTTACTGATCTGTATGATACTACACCTGAACACTTTCACGTGTGTGTGGCCATGCCGAGTCTATTCTGATAGTAGGAACTGGCTTCTGAAGCAAAACAATAACGGCATCTTCCTTCTATTCTTAGAAAGAAAATTACAGAGAAGAAAGAGTATTTTCAGTAGAAATATATTATACCCTCTGAGCAAAATTTCTTGAAGTTGATTTAAGTAGAGGAAATAAAGGTTTTTAAAAAAAAAAAGAAAAAAAATTTGTGAAGCTTAAGAATTAATCCTTTTTTTTTAATAGGTATTTTAGTCATATAAGTGACTAGAAATAAAACCTTACATTAATTCCTTACTTGACATGGGTTGCTATTGTTGCAACAGAATATCTCAGAAATCTTTTATCTGTCCTAATTAAATTTCTATTGGAAATAAAAGGAAAGATCTATAGGGCTTGTTTTGTAGAACGGAAATACTATCTGGTTTTAATGAAGAAACTTAATTATTTTGTGGAAAAAGGAAATTTAATGTGTCCTTAGGTAATCCTGTTACCAGACACTACTTTGATTCTTTATAGAGAACGTTTTGTGTTAGAACAGTAAAATATGTGAATGTTTGTTTGTATGTTTTTATTGGAGCGGCACTCAACTTTTCATTACAGGCTTTCAAGAGGTGTTTAGTTGAGTATCTACTAATAAAAGAACACAGAGGGAAGGAGGAAGTGTTTAACTTCAGACCACCTAGAAATGTAGGCATCTCATATGCAAAAAGAGTCAATCTTAGTATGTATCAGTCTTGAAAGTTGTTCACTCTTGAGGGATGCTGCATCACAATATACAGTATATAGAGCATGACCTTCAATTAGAAATCTTTTTTGCGATGTTTTCCTCTTCTGTTTTCAATACTGGAGTCCTTCATACTTGATGATCTTAAAGGTCTTTTCCAACCTAAACTATTCTATGATTCTATACTTTGTCAAACTGTCCACTTTATCAATTTTTTTTTAACAAAAGAATATTGAGCTCTTACAAGGGCAGTACTACTCAGAAGCCTTTTTTTAGGTCTGAAACTATTGGTGTGTGAAATATCACCCTTGAAGGAAAAAAGACCTGCATATTATGAGAAGGGTGAAGATGCATTTTAAAAGATTTCACAGTTTACATCTATTGCACTTTGATTTGAAACTCAACAACAAGCCTGCTTAGCACTGTGTATTTTTAAGCAAGGTTTTGAACAGATTAGACTTCTCATTTGCCTTTTTCAATAAAGGTAAAGACAATTAAAAATGAAAGAGCAATTTTATTTCGTTATTGCTAACAGGTTTTAAATTGGAATGTTTGTGAAAACTTTTAAAGAAAGCTCCCCTCTGACCCTGCAGGAGGCAGTTACCCTCATCATCTGTGTAATCTTCCATGACAAAACACAGGGAAAAGGCACTCTTTCTAAGGTAAAAAGAGGAAGAAAGTATTTCACTTGGGAAGAACATCTAAAATATTTAAATTAAAAGCAAGTGAACAAGGATGAGATAATTTGTTCATTTCAGTTTTTTTGGTTTCTTAAAGTATGAAAATAATCCATTGTAGTTTGTAGTACTGAAGGTAAATGTCTGTTGAATTTTTTAGTTGAATTGAGAAGCTCTGTCTAGTAAAGCAGAAAATATATATGTATTTCACTATTCTAATATCTTTTAAGCATCTTGTATGAATTTAAACCTTCAGCTAGATCATTAAGGTCCTATTTTGTCTTAAAAACCTTGGGTTTTTCCACTGCAGTAAGGTATCTGATAGCTTGGATTCGTGCCTAGCGCAAAACCTATACAAGTAACTGTGTAAGGTAGTAGAGCATACAGTTCATGTGGCTACCTAATAATCTGTGACTGAGTTACGTAGGTAGATATTTCTCTTCAGTATGGGAATTGTGAGATTTTTATCAGGCTTTTTTTTCCCAGTTTATAGAACACAAAAAGATTAAGGGAATTT